CTGCGTTGTAAAGATTTGTTTGTTAGTTGACAAAACGGAGATGTTTACAAAATTCATTTCCACTATTTCTATGGGCCAATGTAAATTTTCATAATTAATTTGGTGTGTACATAGTGATAATGGTATTGAATTGGTAAGTCTTAAGAAATATTCTGATGAAAAGGGAAGTGTGTTAAAACTTCATGTGTGCAGACCGGCCCCTACAACAAGATGGACAAGCAGAACTCAAACATCGTCACATTTTGAATGTTGTACATGGTTTGCAATTTCAAGGAAATACGTGTACAATTTTCGGGGGAATGTGTATTAACTACTGGGTATTTGATTAATAGAACACCCTAAGTCGTGTTGCATGGTAAATCTCCTTATGAGGTGTTGTATCGACAGAAACCTAATTACCATCAACTTTGGGTTTTTGAATGTCTCTATTATGTACACAATCACCAAGCAAATGGAGACAAATTTACTTCTAGAAGTCGCAAATGTGTTTTCTTGGGGTATTCGTTTCGAAAGAAGGGACGTAGATTGCTTGATTTGGAAACTTCAGATATATTTGTTTCAAGTTATGTCAATTTTTTTAACGATATATTTTCATTTTCCGGTTCCCACACACGTGTAAAGTAATACTTCCTGAGGTGCTCATTCAGCCAAGTTGCATTAAGTCACTTATGAGCAGTTTGTTCGCCCAATAATTAATTCTCCTAATGAGTCTACCGTGGAGCTCGTTGATCACACAACTTTTCTAAGTACAACTGCAAGTCAACCGAATGAACCACACACACATTAGAATAGGAAGCACACCACGATGTTGACTCAAGAGAAGAGATCGTCCTGTGGCATGGGATACAGGTCAGATTTCCATCAGTCCACCTTAAAGAGAACACCACACAGACTGTGATACCTGAACGTCCATACCCTCTTCTCTCATCTAATTAGCACACCTCACACAATCCTTTTCCTACAACATATTATATTACATGTGGCAAATTTTCTTCAAAACCTTTTGTAGTTTTTAGCTGCAGTCACGAAAGGATGTGAACCACGTAGCTACCGAGAAGCTATGACTGATTATGATTAGCGACAATCAATGCAATTTAAGATCAAATCGTTGGAAGATAATAGTACGTGGGAGTTAACCAATCTTCTTGTGAGTTTCAAGTATCACGACAATCAGACAATTAATGCACAACCACATAATAGATGACAATATTAAAGACAGTATTGAGTATTATAATGGTTTATAGGAAGTTTACAGATCGGGTGTTCAATATGCTACAATGAAGTGAGTCTCTCAAGCTCTCTGGAATGAAGATGCGTAATTCCAAAGTTATCAATGTTCAATCGTTAGGTTTACGGAAGCCAATCCTTCATATATGTAATATCTGAAGGTTGGCCTTCCTTATTACATTAGGCTTTAGGGCCCAAATACAAAGTTGGCTCGGTGAAATAGCTATTCTATTATTACACAAATACAAAGAGAATCAATGCAATTGTACACAATAACACACTCCTTAACAATCATCCCATGTGTATATTTTTGCATTATAGCGAGAGATATGTTTATATTTCTGTTGACTGACTTGTCCCTTTGAGCGAAGGTAGGTTTCCTGCCTCCTGGAGCGCAGATGGGAAGACGATCAGACTAGAGCGCATGTATAAATATGATCAGAAGTTCCGCAATTGAGGAATTAGGATTAGTCAAATATTGTTGAATTTTAAAAAGACATATTTTTGTCTTTATAAAGTGTATATGTAATATTTATGACATTCTTTCAATCGTTATTTGTACATAATTTCAGGATTAGGATTTAAATACAGAGTTTACATAATATTTTTTATCACATGTATCTAGTATATTATTATCATTATTTCTAAATACAGAAAAACAATATTTTCGTATTGGAAGAACAACCCAATCATCCCTCCGTCTGGGGTGGTGTCAAATATGCAAGGGTGTGCCACACTTCATAGGCATGGGTGTGGTGATAAGAATGTTAAGGCTGTTAGGTCGTCGCCCGGAAGTGACACGCCACTTCGATGCCCGGGGATGGTGTCAAATATGCAAAGGCATGGTTAGAGTAGATGTGGTGTGAAGAAGAGAATGCAAGGTGCTAGATTGTGTTTTGGGACATGGAATGATGGCTCTCTTACGGGAAGATCGTCTGAGATAGCTGAGGTTATGAAACGGAGGAATGTCAGCATAATGTGCATGCAAGAAACTAAGTGGGTTGGAGAAAAGGCACGTGAGATTAATCCCGTAGGTTTTAAGTTGTGGTATTCAGGGAGAGAAAGGAACAAAGATGGAGTAGGCATTATGGTGGCACATGATTATGTTGAGGGTGTGGTGGAAGTCTTCAGGAAGAACGACTGCATCATGAGCATTAAGCTGATTATAGGAGATGAGATCGTGTCAGTGGTAAGTGCCTATGCACCACAAGTGAGATTGGATGCATCTATCACTCAACAATTTTGGGAGGATCTTGAGGAGGAGGTGCGACGAGTGCCAAGGGGAGAGAAGTTGGTCATAGGAGGCGACCTCAACGGGCATGTGGGACCAAGTCATGATGGTTTTGAGAGTATCCATGGTGGACATGGTTTTGGCACTAGAAATGAAGCGGGCCGGGGGAGAACATTCTAGATTTTGTCTAGACATATGAGTTGACTGTGATGAACCCTTGGTTCAAGAAAATAGACTCTCACCTTGTGACCTATAGAAGTGGAGCTAATAGTACCCAAATTGTCTACTTTTTACTTAAATTGCCCTAAATAGGAGTAAAAACGTTTTGAAATTCTAAAATAGGAGTATCATGTTTTTTATTCCCTGAATAGCAGTAATCTGTCCAATTTGGAAAAAATGCCATGTTTAAAGTCTTTTAATGCCAAACTTGGCAAAAATTTACTCATATTTAGGGAATAAAAAACATGATACTCCTATTTTGGAATTTCAAAACGTTTTTACTCATATTTAGAGAATTGTCTCTACTTTTTAGTACGAACGACTTGGAGAACTAGCTACAGTAATGGTAAGGTTATCCAGGTGAGATTGTTGTCACTCAACATAGGATGTTTGCGCTTGATTTTCAAGGTAGAAAGGGAAGGAGAGTTAAGGTACAAGGGGAGCAAAAGATAAAGTGGTGGAGGCTCGAGGGGAATCTCCAACAAACCTTTGCACAGAAAATGTTGGAGGAAGATGTATGGTCCATTGATAATGACGCACATATGGATGATGTGTGGTTATCAATGGAGTCCACCTTTAACAAAGTGGCGAAAGAGATAATTGGAGAATCTAAAGGATGTCTACCACCAAAAAAGGATACATCTTGGTAAAATGATGAGGTAAAACAAGCAATTAGGATCAAAAGGGAATGCTATAAGAAATTGGGCAAAAGTTGGAGCGACGAGAACATAGAGGAGTACAAGGAGGCTAGAAGAAGAGCAAAGAAAGCTATAAAGGAAGCAAGAGGAAAAGTGAACAAAGAATTGTATCCAAATTGGACTCTAAGGAAGTAGGAAAAGATATTTATAGACTTGCTCTTCTTCGTGACCGTAGGACTCAAGATATCAGAAAAGTTAAGTGTGTGATGGATGTTGATCAAAGGATACTAATGGAGGACATGGAGATAAAAGAGAGGTGGAGGTCATACTTTGATACACTATTCAACGGGAACAAAGCACAAGATATTGGTGATTTGACCATACCAGATTGTATGGTAAATCGTGATTTTGTGAGAAGGATCCAAACAACGGAAGTTAAAGAGGCTCTGAGGAAGATGGGGCGGAAGAAAGCAGTGGGTCCAGATGACATACTGATCGAGGCTCGGAGAAGTTTGGGAGAGAGAGGCGTCGAGTGGTTAACAAGTTTCTTCAACATGATTTGGAGAAACAACAAGATGCCAACGAGTTGGAGGAGGAGTACTATTATCCCATTATTCAAGAATAAAGGTGATGTGCAAGAATGTGTCAACTATCGAGGGATTAAACTTATGAGTCACACCATGAAACTTTGGGAGTGAGTGATTGAGCAAAGACTTCGAAGAACTGCAGAGATTTCAGAGAATCAATTCGGTTTTATGCCTGGTCACTCAACAACTGAGGTCATTCACCTTCTTCGGCAACTTATGGAGAAGTATAGAGACACTCACAAGGATCTGCATTTGTTGTTCACTGACTTAGAAAAGGCTTATGATATGGTACCCCGAGAAGTTCTTTGGTGGGCCTTAACTAGAAAAGGCATATCACGCAAGTATATCAGCATCATCATGGATATGTATCAGGATTGTACTACAAGTGTCAGTACTAGTGTAGGGAGGACTGCGGAGTTCCCTATTACTATCAGAGTGCACCAAGGAACGACTCAAGCCCTTTCTTATTTGTTATAGTCATGGATGAACTTACAAAGTCAATTCAAGACGAAATACCTTGGTGCATGATGTTTACCGACGATATTGTATTGATTGATGAGACGCAATCAGGTCTTAAAGCAAAGTTAGAAGTATGACGAGAAACATTGGAGAACAAGGGTTTCAGACTTAGTCGGAGCAAGGGGTGAATTGCACTTTTTATGTAAGTTTTAGGGCTTATTTGGTAGTTCACCTTTTCGTATTTAATCAGTCTTATCTGCCAACTTTTTGGGAATATCCTTCTAAATCCATTATAGTATCAGCTAATGATGATGTCAACATCCTTGATCAGAATGAGACTTAAACCTTCAACTTTTTCTTAGTTCAACATTTTAAACTTGTGAGTCACAAAAATCTACTCTGTAATATATACGGAATATATAGTAACTACTTGAGAGTGTATATCGTACAGTCGATTGTACGGTGCTCACGATACAATCATGTATTTTATATTAACAGAAATGATTATAACATTTAAAAGAAATGTGTATTGATACTAAATTATTGTATTGATAGCACAATTGAGTATTAGAAGTATACAATTGAATAACTCAATATCAATATTTATTTCTTGATTAATTGATTATAGGGTATAATTTGCCCGGCTCAAACCTAAAGATATACGGAGCGGATAGGATTAGGGAAGAAAGAAATACATACAGTAATTATAATGGCAGAGGCGTAAATAAATGGGAAAGCCGGCGCAAACAGCACAATGTTCGGAGTGGAAACTGAGGGATAGTAGCAGTAGCAGTATAAAATGTGTCAAACTGGAAGTGATTCTCTACCACCCAAGATCTGCTGGCTCCAGCTCCCTCTTTTCTCTCCCTTTCTCTAAATCTCTTTACGTTTCCAGAAATTCGAAATTCAAAATATAATAATAATCTTAATATCTAGAAAAATCTGTAGCAAGCCCTAGAAAGAACGCCAATCTCCCTCACACGGGTTTGCTGGGCGGAGAAATTAAGCTTCTCTGAGCCGTATGCATGCATTCAACGTTCATCGTCACTCTCCAGGAAGTTCAAGTTTCTGCGCTGGGAAAGATAGAAAGGTAAATCCGTTTTGATTATTATGCCTGTCCTATCAAGACTGTTTGAAATTATGAGATTTGCGCTTCTGCGGATATTTTGATCTGGAAAGTGGATTGGCGTCGGTTACAATGCTTAGATTGTGAGTAATGCGAGGGGAGATGAATGATCGACGAAGAGGCATTTGTTGATTTTGACGTGTTGTAAAAGAAAGGTTGATGATTCCATTTTGAGGCTGGATGCTTAGATCTATGCTCCCCTGTTTCATTTTTCAAATTGGCTGTTGGGTGCTCGAAACAAAAAAAAAGTCTTTCTTTTTTCTGCCTCTGATTCATCTGATTCTTACAGAGTTTATGAAGCATAGCTGACATGTTACCTTTTGTGTTTTACCTTGTACCTCTTACATCTACGAAGACCATTAGACCAAGGTTAGAAGATCTCTACCACAACGAGAACCAGACAGTTAGATAAATGCCAACTGTTGGAGCTCCAAAACTTTTAAAAATTCTTCTCTTTGGAGAGTTTTCTCTCTTTTAGGCTTCGAAATTATCTCTCTTTTACTGTCTTAGCACCTAAAAAATAGTGCTTTTTAGGTTGATTATGATTTTCGGTAGTTTAGCGATTGGAGAAAATATTACCTTTTGACTATTCTTTTTCTTTTTTTTTTATTTGTCTGCTATGATCATTTCAGTTCTTTGTTTGGGGAAATTGAAGGTGTTTCCTTCAAAATTCCAATATGTTGATCTTCTTTTGTGTGTGGAATGGGTTATTAGAATTTTAATTCGTCTAAATGAATTTGTGAATAAAGCTCCGACAGCTAACAGAAACTTTGGGTTCTAGGATTTGTATCATCATTTAACGTTTTTGATAGAAGTCATTGATTGTATGAAAATTAAAAGAAGTATAAGGAATGGTAAAAAAGGTATTAAATCCATACCCCTCCCTCCTCCCTCTCTCTGTATTGGTGAATGCTGAGTGCATACATGATCATGATTTGTTGGATGTATGGTGTATTTCATCATGCCTGAAATTGGTTCCTTTCTATTTTCCCAACTCCTATATCTCCTCGATTGCTATTTGGCCCTTGAAATTGAAATTTTCAATTATACTATAGGGCACGTGGTTGGGATTTTTTTCCTTCGGGAGGGAGTGAAGAATTACACAAATATCATGGTGTTTGAAATTCTGTAGGCTAATATGTTTCTAAAACATTCCTTGCAGGGAGAAAATGTCACTCTTGATGCATTTTGGTGATCTTTTAACTTAGTTCATTTGATTATTAAGCTGTAAGATTTGTCTGGACCAACGTTCTGAGTTCTATTATTATTACTCCCAATACTGAGCCGTAATAATTCCATCATGGTTGCCACCGCTGCTACTGCTGCTTTTTTCCCTCTTGCCAACCTGCACTCTGAGCCTGGTGTTCAAACATCTGGAAAGCTAGGAGGAACTGCACCTGTCAGCCTCAATACACGGGGCATCAACTCGAAATCCTCTGCTTCTCGAAACATAAAAGCAAAGGCCAATGCACAAGCTCCTCCTAAGGTTAATGGAACCAAAGTAGGTTTAGCGGAAGGCCTCAGAACCGATGATGAGTTTACCTCATCACCTCACCCAAGGACATTTATCAATCAGTTGCCTGACTGGAGCATGCTCCTCGCTGCCATTACAACTGTTTTCCTGGCTGCTGAAAAGCAATGGATGATGCTTGACTGGAAACCGAAACGCTCTAACGAGCTTATTGATTCTTATGGTTGGGGAAGAATTGTCGAAGACGGATTAGTTTTTCGTCAAAACTTCAGTATAAGGTCCTATGAAATAGGGGCTGACAGGACTGCATCGATAGAAACAATGATGAACCACTTGCAGGTATATTGAACCTAGTTAGTTTTTTTTTTTTTTTTTTTTTTTTGCGTTTTAAACGCGTTTTAAACACGTACCCTTTTTTGAACAAAAAACGCGTTTAAAACGAAAAATAATGTATGTCTGTTTTAAAAGGAAAAAAAACTCCTACTTCCCGTATCAAACGTATGTTTTCCGTATTTTACAAAAAATAGAAACATAATCTGATCAAGTGAATGAGTGCATCAAATGCATAGGAAATCAACAATAGCTTAAAAGCAAAAAGGAAAACACCCCTCGTGACTCCATGTTTTTGTATTGCTACAATGTAATTATTAAATACTAAAATGATTTGCATGGCCGCTAAAGCTAGCTTTCTCAAAGACCAAAACTTGAAATACTATTGGATTTATGATGTATTTCCAATCAAGCATGTCAAAATTAAGATTTTTCTAAACCTGACATATATTTAGTATAAACTTTTACACATAAACAATAATAAGCATAGTAGTCGCAGAACATACTCTTCCCATATGTCTTTCGTCATCTTGATGAAAATAAAGAGTTTAACTTGAGTGTTATTTGATGATGATATAAAGACAATGATTTTAACTTAGTCTCATTCTATTGTTATTATGCGTCATTTTTCTGACTTTATTTTGCAAAATTATGTCTTGGACTTAATTGCTATTTTTCTTTTTTTCATCAATTTATGCAATTACGAATTATTCTTTCATGTGGTAATGAGATTTGCTACTTGAATATGTATATACCTTTATACATATTTTTCAACGAATTTTTGACCGTCTTTTTCATTCTTGTTACCGAATAAAACGCGTGCGTATTAAACCTCGTTTAATTCCCGTACCGTATTTAACTAACTATGATATTGAATACATCTATTATTATTATTATTATTATTATTATTATTATTATTATTATTATTATTATTATTATTATTATTATTATTTCTGCTATTATATTTTAGTTATGTGACCTATGAAACAATCAGGTTGGGGTATACTAAGGCCAGACTGTTTCTGCAGGAAACTGCTCTGAACCATGTCAAGACTGCAGGACTCTTAGGGGATGGTTTTGGTGCAACTCCAGAAATGTGCAAGAAAAATTTAATTTGGGTTGTAAGTAGAATGCAAGTTCTGGTGGATCGTTATCCTACTTGGTATGTGGTGTTGTGTTTTATTTCCATGGTTAATGGATTTGACACTTCTTTCATTCTCACTCTGTAGTACTCCCTCCTACCCGCTAAGATTTTCCCGTCTTTCCTTTTTGGCCCGTCTCACTAAGATGGTCCCATACCAAATTTAGTAACATGTGTGTGGTTCCAAATCATTCTTACTTTGATTTTACTTGATTAGTTCAATATCAACCGCATAAATTCACTTTTCTTAATAATAGCACCTTCTCATCTTTTATCAATGTTAGGGGACGGATTCACGGAGGTAGTATATCATTACTACTCTCTATATAGACATCTTCCAATGTTGTTTACTATAGTGTTAGCTGTGGTTTCTCTTATACAGGGGTGATGTTGTTCAAGTAGACACATGGGTAGCTGCATCAGGGAAGAACGGTATGCGGCGTGATTGGCTTCTACGCGATAGCAGCACAGGGGACATATTAATGCGAGCTTCCAGGTAGGGGACTATTCTCTTATTGGACTTGCCTCAACTAAACCAAGCCTCAAGTCATTTTGTTGTTTTTCTATGTAGCTGGGTTATTATACAATTATGTTCTATTTAGTCTTGCTATGTTACTCCTTCATGTTATGGTATAACAGTTGCAGCTTTAATCGTATCCAATGAGGCGATAATGATGATCTTTTGTACTGCAGTTGTGAGTTGTGCTAGTTGACCTTTTTTAAGCATGGGTTTTGGGCAACATCCGGTTAAAAGTCAGAGTAGAAAACACAGACTAATTAAATGAGAGAGACCTAAGCTATTTCTAATAATCTTGTTTCTTTGTTTGAATGTATGGTTATTAATGTTTTATTCATTTCAGCATGTGGGTGATGATGAATAAGGAGACAAGAAGATTGTCAAAAATGCCAGATGAGGTTCGAGCTGAAATTGGAAGTTATTTTGTTGATACACCACCTATTATCGATGATGACAGCAGGAAGTTGCCGAAGCTCAATGATGAGACAGCAGACTACATCCGTAGTGGATTGTCCGTAAGTATTCATCAATTTTTGGTAAAGGTGCATTCTGCTCATTACATAGTGCTGATTTTATATAAAATTTTATACTTGCAGCCTAGGTGGCACGATTTAGATGTGAATCAGCATGTTAATAATGTTAAGTACATTGGCTGGATTCTTGAGGTAGAGACTGACTTTACTCAATCAATTTATATTTTGACCTGGCTTTTAGAGTTACCTTTTATGGATGGTTCAGTGCAAGTTATTAACTGGAATAATATGGCTAGAAGTTCAGATGTTGATATTCATCCTGATCTAATTGGAAAAAACATTATTAGGCATGTGGACTGAGTTACAAGTTTAGCAAGAGTTTGAACATACTAGGTTATAGATGAGATGTGCTTATTCTTGGGGTGTTCTTTGATATGTCGCAGAGTGCTCCCTTGCCCATCTTGGAGAGTCATGAGTTATCAGCAATGACTTTGGAGTACCGGAGGGAGTGTACGAGAGACAGTGTGCTCCAATCCCTCACCTCAGTTGTGGGTAATAATATTGGGGATTTGGCTACCTCTGGATCTGTTGAGTGCCAGCATTTGCTCCGCCTCGAAGGTGGTGCTGAAATTGTCAAGGGAAGGACTGAGTGGAGGCCCAAGATTGCGAACAATTTCAGGAGCGTTAGTCCTCTCCCATCACACAGCGTTTAGCCCCCATACATCCTCACATCATCACAACATACCATCTCGACTATCCATATGATTCTCTTTTTACCCCCCTCTCTATATATATGCACACACATATGTACATATATGTGTGTGTACATATATGAATATATATTATTCTTTATTTGTGCCTGCGTTTTGGTTTATGATTTTCCTGTGGTCCTGTTATACAGAAAAGAAGCGCTGTAAGTAGGCTGTTGTCCTCCTAGAACTCCCCTGCCGGGCTACCCCCACTCTCTCCCCTTGTGTGACAATCCATCATGGAATTCCTGTTGCCATTTATGAATGTTGTTACCAGAGCCAGCTGGTCAAATCTCATTTCTGTATATCTCTACATATATCCCCTTCGTTATGGTTGCGTACTTCATTATATACATGGTAGTGATATGCATTTAGAGTGATCCAAATGGTGTAAATGTGTAATTCTCTGGCGTCTTAAAAGTCCGAGTCTGAAGATTTGCTCGAGAGAACTTTGGCATGGACTGTGGACTGCAGAGCTTTGCCCTTTTCTTTGGTGTTATATGGCACTTGATGAATTGGTTTGTGCATAGCTAGGAAAGTTATTGTCATAACTTAGTTATGACTTATGAGATGTCTTCATTTGTTAATTTTCGCCGACTCGCCGTTTGTGTTGTATAGTTCTTTTTTTTGCGCAATTTATTAGACATAAATTTGTGTTCTTTTGTTTTGTTTATCTATTCAATGTTTTATCAGTCCTGCCGTCCTGGTACAAAACAATCATCTCATATGCTCATGTTTTATTCAATAGACGATCAATCCTAATTCCTTCAATATGCTCATGTTTTTTGTGATGTTAATTTCCATTACTTGAAATGTTGAATGATCATCGGAATTCTTCGTAGAAAGAAGGTAGGCTGCGCCGCTGCGGGCAAAAGAAACACAAGGTCCAAGGTTTTTTTTGCAAACACTAAAAAAAAGGGAACATTATCCGAAATAAGATTGTCATATTTTTATTCCTAAAGTAGGATTAATTATTATCATGTTTTGACAGTATCAGACTTCAAACATGATAATATTTTCTGGATAATGGACTATGGTTTGATCAAAATTTGATTGTGTTAAAAGCTCTTTAACCGGGTGATATCCCGAGTAAGACGGTGCTTGATGAGTTTGAGATCTGGGTGCAGGTCCATAATGTGTCGTTTAGTTTTAAAAATTTGGGAACGGCGAGGAGAATTGGGAATTATTTGGGGGAATTTGTCACTTGGGGTGAACAAAAATTTGATAAAAAAAAGGAGGCTTATATGCGTGTGAGAGTCCGTATGAATACTGGTAAAGTTTTAAAAGTTGAATTGGGACCACTTTAAGGAAGAGCAAAGGAGAAGGGTATTGGGTAGACTTTAAGTATGAGAAGTTGCCAAGCTTCAACTTTTGTTGTGATGTGATAGGACATGCAGAGAAATTTTGCCCTCTTCTGTATGAATACGAGGGGCAAGCTATGACTAGACCTTTTGGGTCGTGGCTTAGAGCGAGTGGTCGTAGATCGAAGCCAAATATGGGTATCAAGTGGCTGATTTCGGAAGGGAGCTTCTCTGGAGGTGGCAAGAGCACATCAAGTACGTGAGCTCAGTGCAGGAGATGAACTCGAATGAGACAGGAGAGAGCACCAAAGCTGGAATGGGAAATGCTATGAACTCAGGGTAGACAGAAGAGGAAGGAGTGTCAGGGAAGTTGAAGAGGAGACTTAGTTGGGAGGACCAATCTAGGTAGGATGCTGCGACGATGGACTCCCCAAAAAATGGAGTTGGGGCGGGTGCGGGTCTTCAGCCCTGCCTGATGATCTGATGCTGGTTATGACTTTTTTAATTGAGAAACTTATTTACTCTCTTTATTTTGTTTTATTTTTTTCCCACGTTCTGGATGTTGTTTTGTTTGGATTGTGCTGTGTTTTCCAGCAAAAAATCTTGTGAAACTAAAACAGGAGATGATGAGTTGTGTTTACAAGTCATAGGCTTCTACGAAGGTGATTAATTCAGAGTCTGGTCTCTGGGCGAATGGGAGACAGGAGACTTGTTGTCACTTTGTACCCTGTTTTGGTTTGGTCCGATTGATCTGTTTGGTAATGATACAGTATTGGTACTACGTAACTTTTAATCAATACGTGATATACTTTTAATATTGATACACATATACGTTGATATAAACAAATTCTTTTCATCAGTATGACTATATACATGATACTACGTAACATTTAATTAATATCACTATATTGATTGTTTATGTTGGTCCCAGTTTATGCAGACTAACGATCAACTAGATGGTATTCAACGATTAAACAGAAGAAAAGAAGATCTGATAATGATAAGGCAATATCGAGAACAGAGAAATTCTTCTTCTAGTTTATCGAGAACTATTTGGGCAGCGTAAGGTTAAAAAATGTATTGATCGATATCGGTACCTGTACACAAGGCGCATATTTATAGGCGCTGTACAGGTTACCGATTTAGGTAAACCTTGGAAGTTGGGCCAAGGCCTTTTTGGGCCTTATTCCCTTTACCTTATTTATTACATAATAATTACTAATCTAATACCATAAATGGTATAACTAGTCTACTTTATTAAACAAGACTTAACAGACAAACTTGACCCACAATAAAAGTTCTAACAATCTCCCCCTTTGTGGTCAAGTGCCGTCTTGCTGGGTTTCTTCACTTCTGAGCTTTGTAATAGTTCTTTCTGAGGTTTAGCGCGTGCTCATAGCTCCTGAGTGAATTTCTTTTATCCAGTTGCTTTTCGATGGCCTGTAGGATGCTGTCAATTCTGTGTGCCTCTTTTAATTCAGAATCTGTGGCATCTGCATACTTTTGCTGTCTTTCTTTAAATGCTTCTCTGATAGGTTGCAGCTTCTCTTTCACAATCTTCAGGGTTCCGTCACAGTACTTGTTAATTTCATCAATGAATAGCATACGTTTCTCATCATTGTGGTTCAGATAGATAAGCGTGATTGGACTATCAAAGATGTAATACTCAGGAAAGTCCTCCAATTCTTGTCCATACAACTTTGGTCTTGTGAGATTCGTCTTTGGCATGTTTGCTTCAAGAGCCATCTGAAGATCATGAGAGGCAAAGAATTTGATTTGTCTGATCATAAACCGCTTGAGTGCATCCAGCCCATCTTGTGTAATTTTGTCACGAATGCCTGGAATTTCCTGGAATGCAAGATACATCTCATAGATGTCTTCCATCTTTAGCATGTAGAGATCATTTTCCTTGCACGTGAATACAGTTCCGTCAGAGCACTGTAGATGGTAGACAGAGAGTTTGATATCTTGAAAGTTGGTTTCGGCCACATTGAGAACGGCCCAGACAGGGTCCTTGGCTGTTTGAAGTTCGTGTTGCCAGACTTCTCTCTGTTTTCCCATATAGTGATGACTAAGTAGAAACAGCTGTCCGCCCTTGTTTTGTCCTCGTAGATGGTTAAGACCACGGATCTTCAGTTCGTCCAGTTCTCTGACCTTATCCTCTTTTCGCCAGTTGTTTTCTCTGATTTCCTCTTGAAAGGGGGCGTTGATGTCGATCTTTTCCCAGGGCTTCTCATTTCTGGGCATTTGAGCCGCTGTTTGTCTAATGATCGACTCAAGCTCCTTGGGTGGTGTCTCGTAGTTCTCTCCCTCCTTGAGTTCATCTTGATCAAGTAGAATCACATCAGTAGCACAGTTGACTAAGAGATCTCTGAGGTATGCTCTTCGCTGTGATTCATCTACATCTGTCCAGAGTTCAGACCATTTGTTGTGCACCAACATTTCCTCAAGTTCATCGTGCATTTGATCATTGTAGTAGCCGGAGGGAGCCTGCTGCTGCTGAGGCGACATGTCGGGCTAAGCATCGGGATCCTGGTGAGACTTGCAGGGATCCTCAATTATCTCAACACGATGCTCTTGCGCAGAAACCAGACCTCTATACTTCGTTATATGCGGCCAATCCTCCCTTGGCTGAGAATGTGTAACACCGGGATCCTCAGGATTGCCCGTTGACAACAGTTTCGAACTAGGTTCTAGCTGATGGCCTGAGTAAGAAGATGTACTCGTGGTAGCATCATCAGGACTTCCATTCCGTCCTTGGTTAACATCTATAGGAGATGCACCTCGGGATGTTATGTCTAGCTCGACCATGCTAGAAAGAGTGGCTAGGGATTTATGGCTGGCTGAAGTAGTGGGTTGCTCATTGGTAGAGGTAGAGGGTTGGTTTGGCTTTGAGGGTTGGCTAGTAGAAGCAACATGCTCAAGTATCCGCTGGCGCTTGTTCTCCCCCTCATGAGAATCCGAATCATCGGGATCCTCATGTGAACGTTTAGCGCCACGGAGACTGTCACGGCATGTGTTCTGTGTATCTAGAGCATGGAGAAGGGCTTTTTGAAGAGGGGTGAGGTTGCCTTCTTCCACGTCTAGTATACGGTCGTAGATCTCAGCTACAAGATCCTCGAAGGGTACGGTTGTTAGGTTGGGTTTGGTCGTTGTAGGGGAGAATACTAGTTCTGTATCCTGGGTTCCCCTTGATGTGGATGGTTGTTGGTTTTCTATGGCTAAAGGTGTGGAAATAGGTATGGAAGTGGTTGGGGGCTGTGTTGTTTGAGGTTTGGATGGTATATTCTGAACAACTGGGGTACTTCCAGCGTCTTGTGCATTAGCGGTTATTGCTTCATGCACCCATGGTTTAATGGTAGACTCTAGAAAGCTGTTCAGATATACAAGAATGTCTTCGGGGATGATGGTTACAGTTACAGGGGTTGTAACTGTTGTCACAGCATCAGTGAAGATAGCTGATGTGTGGCCTGCGTTCAATGATCGAGGCATTGTTGGCGTAGCAGGACTTCCGACCATCATAGTTTGCACTCCGGTCGTTGCATTCAGGGTGAGTGCACCTGTATGTGCAGTGAATAGTGTAGATGTCCTAGAGAAATTTAAAAATGTAGGAATGGTGACACCTAGACTCGATGTGATAGAACGAATGGGGGTAGTGGTCCGGGGCTGTTGACCACTAAGTCTCTCAGCAGATTCGGAAGGAATCAGTGAGGTCGGTGTAAGTTCCCCTTGAGTTATTGAAACCCCAGTCTGTTGGGAGACTGGAGAGTGGATGGGAGATGGCTGTGCATACGCAGTTGAACCGGATGCTGCGACTTCTACCCGGGAACTGACAGGGTCAGCTCCTGCTCCTAGGGGCGTGGTTCGGTCTATGGTGACAAAGGTGTCGCAGTCATCGTACAATGCCAGCTCCTCTTCCACTGCACTCTTCTTTCTTAGCCTCTTCTTAGGCTGTGATGATGCAGATTTGTCGCTGTTGTGCTTGGAGCGCTGCTCACTGATGACAATGCCCTTAAGTGGTCGAGACATGTGAGCAGCCTCTTCATTATTGTCCAATGAGGAGTCGGAGTCTATCGGAATGGCTCTTTTTCCGGCTCTTTTCCTGTTGCTGATCAGGACTCCCTCCATGTATCATCATCATCTGCATCATCATCATCATCTTTCCGCTCATTTCCCTTGGCCATGCTATCGGAGGCCTCACCACCAGCCTTATTAGAAGGGGCCTGGCTTGATGGTTCATCGGCAGTGTCCTCAGCATTGATAGGGTGGCCCTCAGCAGTCTGGGTCCTCTCGGAAGAGTTAGCAGACTGATCATCATTAGGCCGGGTTGCCACTGGTTTCTGTGGCGGGGCTCTCTTCTTCTTACCCTCACTCGCTCTTGGCTTGGTTCCCGGGGAAGGTCCAGCTGGGTTTTGCTGAACCATAGGAACCGTTCTCTTCAACGACTCTTTGTAGTCAATGACTGCCTTATCCCTTGGGTTTGCTAGTTCAAGCAGGGAGTCTGGAATAGGCAGTGCTTCAGCTTTGTTGCTGTCCCTCTGGAAGTAGTTGAGCTTGGGAGCGGTGAAGTGCTTGTCTTCCTTGCGCTTAGGGATTGTGGGAGTGGCTTCCAACATGTTGTGAATCATCAGCGCCAGCCACCGAGCGTAGGGGATTGTGTTGCCCTTATGATTCTCCTTCATCTTCACTTGATCCATCAGCTCCGTCCAGAAGAGCTGAGCCATATCGTACTGCTTGTCAAAGGCGATCCCGTGGAAGATTTGAAGTATTTGCTTGTTGCACTTGTCATGTCCGGCGTGCTTAGGAGACAAGCATTTGTTGACCAAGCCGAACAGACTCTTCCACGGGTGAGGAAGATTTGAGATTGTGAAGTTTGACAGCAATGGCAGTGGGCTGTCATATCCCAGATCTTTCATCCCCTTGATCAGTTCTTCGTTGGAGGGGAGTGGTGCATAGCTTTGGTGCACTGGGAGCTTCAGGGTCTCCCGGATTGTAGATGGTGTCAGCACCACTCTTTTGTCGCTCAATTTGGTCATGATTTTGGACCTGTCCTTTTCTGAGGCTGTGTGCATCAGGCCCCAGAACTGTTGTAGATACACCATTGGTACTGGTTTGGCTTCGTTGAAGGCAGTCCAAAGGTAGTGCTTCTGTAGGATTGAGAGAATGACTGGGTCCTGACACTTGAAAAGCTTCAGGTCCAATTGGAAGTTGTTGTCATAAAGTGGGACCCAGTTCTCTTTTGGGTACAGTTCATTGCTTGTTTGTGTGTTCTTGGCTGTTCCTGACATGATTGACTGAAAGAAATGGGTCAGCACAACTGTTCACATGAAAAGTTTTATTTTTGTTCTGTTTTTGCAATTTTCAGATTGGTGTGTATAGGTGGGACATTGAAATCGTTCTAAGTGTAAACCACGAGAACCAACTTCTCGAGGTTTGAACATCGAGAAGTAGGTTCTCGAGGTTTAAATACCGAGAAGCTCTTCTCGATACTCAAACACCGAGAACTTGGTTCTCGATATTGAAGTATCGAAAAGTCCTTCTCGAGATTTAAACATCGAGAACCATCTTCTCGAGGTTTAGTATCGAGAACCTCTTCTCGGTATTTCCAACTTCGAGAAGTAGGTTCTCGGTATTAAACATCGAAAAGACTCTTTTCGAGGTTTAATATCGAGAACCGAACCTCGAATTTTGAAATATCGAGAAATTGTTCTCGAGTTCTAAACATCGAGAAAGTGAATTTCTCGAGTTCGCACTCAGAAGAAATGTCGAGAGCCACCTGCAATCACACATAATTATAAAGATAATATCCAAAACTTTTCGATTTTCAAGTTTTCAGTTTTCGAGAGATATATAGTTCTCGATATTCCATTTCGAGAAATTCCTTTCAAGTTTTGGATTCGAGAACTTGCCATTTTGTGCGAAAACCATTTTATTGATGTTGTTGATGATCAAAAACCTTGAATTCTACCTTAAGATTGATTCGAGAAGATTGCAAGAAAAGGATTTAAACTTCGAGAACTCTGGACTTCGAGAAAGCTTATGCGAGAAAGTGAATAATGTTAAAAGAAGTTCTCGAAGTCAGCTTTTATATGCGAGAAATTGGGTTTGGGCCTTGCGAGAAAATGTCTGGGCCCATATGTTGAGTTGGGTCCAGTTCAGTTTTAAACAGATTTGGGCCCCTATTTTATTTTTGGTACAGAACTCCCCCTCGAATTGTGCCAAAAAAACGAAAAAAAAACACACACACACATTTTTTTGATTTTCTACACATACACACTCTTTTTCTTCTTTTCTGATTTTCTACACACACACACACACTCTTTTTCTTTCTTTTCTGATTTTCTACACACACACACACTCTTTTTCTTTCTTTTCTTCTTTTCTCCCCCTCAAAGTATTCCTCTCTCTTGTATTTTCTCCCTTTTCTCCCTCTCAACATATGCAACGCACACCACACACGCACACATTTTATTCAGACCATGGAGATAACACAATTACATAGGATCAAGATTCAACATGCCTAACTTAGATACTAGGAACTGGAATCTCTTTTCATCCAGTGCCTTAGTAAATATGTCAGCCAGTTGAAGCTCAGTGCTTACAAAGTACAGATCAATATCTCCTTTCTCCACATGGTCCTTGATGAAGTGATAGCGCAAATCGATGTGCTTGGTGCGCGAGTGATGAACGGGGTTGCTGGTTATGGCAATTGCACTCTGGGAGTCACTGTAAATGGGAATATGGCTGAATAGGAAGCCATAGTCTCTGAGTTGTGTCCTCATCCATAGGATTTGTGAACAGCAACTAGCAGCCGCAACGTATTCTGCCTCGGCTGTAGAAATTGATACGTAGTTCTGCTTCTTGGAGGACCAACAGACTAGCTTCTCTCCCAGAAATTGAGCGCCAATTATTGTTTTCTTTGGGGGTCTTGGCACCAGCGTCCATACATCCAATCTTTCAAACTGATTGATCTCCTCCTACATTGCTATCACCCAATCTGGATTTGCTAGAGCTTCAGAAACTTTGGTTGGCTCAGATTGGCTGATGAAGCAAGAGAAGAGACATTCATTTGCTGTAGCCGTTCTTGTGCAAACTCCACGACTCGGATCTCCAATAATTTGTTCTGCAGGATGTGCCTTCGTCCATTTCCGCTCATGAGTTAGAGGGATTGGAGTTATGATGGTGTGATTCGGGTCCTCAACGGTAGTAGATGTGGTTTGTTGAGGAGTGGAGTGCACAGGGGTCGATTCAGGTTCGGTATCTGCTTGAGCTGGTATTTCTGAAACTTGCGCTGATGAAGTTGCTTGTGTTGCTGCCGTGTCATGATCCTCAGTATCTTCGTGATCTGATGTATGAGGTGAGTCAGCTTCTTCTTCACTGAGGTCAGGCATGAATGGTGGTTGAGCAGCTTCTGTTGTTGATTGTGGGTTGGCAGTGCGTGCATTTTCATAGAAATGTTCAAATAGAGAGTCAAGAATTGCACTGTCAGCCGTTGTTTGCTTCGTTGCTTCAGCTCCATCAGGTTGCTTCCTTTGAGCAGAGAGTGTGGGTTCTATCAAGAAGTGTTCAGAAGCAAAGTCAGCCATTTCATAGAATGCAACATTGATACTCTCAATGACTGTTCGGCGTTCACGTAGATAGACCCGATATGCCTTTGATTGCGTGGAGTACCCAATGAATACTCCTTCGATTGCTTTTGGATCCATCTTGCTTCTTTCATTTCTGTCATTTAGAACAAAGCACTTGCAGCCAAACACTCTGAAGAATGAGATGTCAGGAGTTCTGTTGAAGAGTATTTCATATGGGGTCTTGTTGAAGCGCTTGTGAATTGATGTTCTGTTCTGAGTAAAACACGCCGTGTTGATTGCTTCAGCCCACATGAAATGAGGAAGCTTTGACTGAATGAGCATGGTGCGTGCTGCTTCAACAAGAGTTCTATTCTTTCTTTCAACGACCCCGTTCTGTTGTGGTGTCTTTATTGCAGAGAATTGCTGTGTGATACCCTGAGTTTCATAGAAATCAGCAAGAGACTGATTCTTGAACTCGGTACCGTTATCTGTTCTGATAATCTCCACACTCTTTTGTAGAAAATTTTGGATTGTCCTAATGAAGGTTATGATGGTTGCAGCTGTTTCATCCTTTGTCCTCAGAAATTTGGTCCATGTGTACCGAGAGAAGTCATCCACAATGACCAGTGTATATTTGCGTCCATTGATGCTTTGGACTCTCATCGGTCCACACAGATCCATGTGAAGTAGTTGCAGCAGTCGGGAGGAGGATGGAACATGTTTTAACTTGTGAGAGCTCCTTTTCATCTTGCCTAGTCTGCAGGCATCACAATGAGTGTCTGCGGAAGTCTTCAAAGGAGGCAGCCCTCTCACAAGTTTCTTGGAGGATAGAGTTGTGAGATATTTGAAGTTGAGATGAGAGAGGCGTCTGTGCCATAGATAGTTTTGTTCAGAGGAAGCTTTGGACAGCAGGCAGATGGAAGAAGGTAATTGCACACTCTTCAGATCAATGGTGTACAGGTTGGAAGTTCTCGTGCAGGTCAATAATACCTTCCCAAACCTGTCCAGCACACAACATTGTCTGGCTATAAACTTCACTTCCATGCCACTATCACAGAACTGTCCAATGCTTAGCAGATTATGCTTCAGTCCTTTCACATATGACACAGCCTTGATGGTGACACTTGCACAGATGACATCCCCATATCCTAGGATTGGAGAAGCCGCGTTGTTTCCAAATCTCACATTTCCTCCGTAGCATTTGGTGTAGTTGCTCAACAGCTCTTTTATTCCGGTCATGTGGGTTGAGCAGCCTGAATCTAAGTGCCACACATGACCGTCCTGCAAAACAGATTAAGGACTTTTAGGTACCCACCGCTGGATGGGTCCTTCCTTATCAATTGAGAATATCCTTTTGAATTTTTCTTTCAGCTGTGATCCAAGGTCAACAGCCTTTTCAGATAATGTTCTTTGTTTTTCAAGTTCAGCTTTTGGTATCCATTTTTGTTTGATTTTAGGAGCAGAGGAGACAGAGTTACTGTCTTTGTGTGTGAATGACTGGTTCGTGAGGTAAGGTTTGAGAATTTCTTCTTTAGAGAGACGGTGTAAGTGTTTCTTTGAATGAACCTTAAGAGCGTATTTTAAATTTGGAAAATTATAAACTCCCTCTACAGTTCTATTCTCAGATCGTTTCTTTTGTTTGCGTTCTCTCCGTTTTTCCTTACGAACAGAGTTCATAGCACATTCAAAATTGGAAACATCAACACAATCATTTTCAAATCCAAGAGCATACAACTTATTATTGAAAGAAGATTGATCAGAAGAAAATTCAGATGGGTTCAGCTTGGGACACAAGACTGAATTGGAAATACAAGATTGTGACATAGAACTAGTTCTACACTTATTGGAATAGAAAACAGCATTTGAACATGACTTCTTTTTCTCAGAAAACATCTTCTTCTTTCCTTCAGCAATCTCATCTCTCTTCAACTTCCACTCTCTTCCCCTCTCCAATCTCCTACTTACTTCTCTTCCTGTTTTCAAAGGAGATTTGGAGTGAGTGGATGTCTTTTGAAAAAATCTAGATTTGTTCAAATTTGGTTGAGAGGTATCTGTATCACTAGATGATTGAGAAGTTGTGCCAGATTGAGAGCTTTCTTTTAAAAAGGTTAGTTCTCTCAGCAACCTCTCTTTCTCACTTTCGAATTCTTTTCTCTCTTCTTCAAAACTTTTTCTTTGATTTTCTAAAGAAATGTGTAAGTTTTCAAATTTTCTGATAAGTGGAGGGATATAAGGTTCTTCTCCGCTTGAACCTGAGATTGAAGGGGGTTCAGGATCTGACACAACTTCCTTCTCAGAAGGATAAGGACTTACACTCTCATCAGTTGAGAAAACAGGTTCAGCATTTTCATAACTTTTATTCAGAGAGTCATAGTTGAAAGGAATTTCTGTTCTAGAGGGGTTTGATCGCTTTACCTCTTCCTCTACTGATGTTTCTTTTCCATAGGTGAAAGCCATCAACTTAGTCAATCCTAACCCCATATAATTTATGTCGTAGAGCTGAACACAATCCACCTTTTTCAGATTATTGGGGTTAGTAAGACCAAGACCCTCCTTAGAGTTGTAAAATCGTGTGTCCTTGTTTTGATTAAGAAAAATGGTCTGTTCTGTCTGTCCTCTCTTGGCAAGCAAGTCTTCTAACTCTTTGATTTTTGTGTAAAGCTTGCCTCTTTTTTCATGTAGAAATTCATTTTCATCCTTAGCTACATTCCGTTCTAGTTCAGTCTCACAAACTTTCTTTGTTAGTTCAGCTACCTTTTGGGTGAGTTGATCTAATTCTAAAGTTCGCTTCTTGACAATTCCTTTTTCATTTTCTAACTGTATGCTCAGAGACCTGACTTTATCTAGACTGTCAATTAAGTATTTATGGTTGATGTTTCCCTTGTCTCTTAGCTCCTTAATTAGATTGTCTTTGTCTTGTGACGAGTGAACTTTACAGGAGCAGGAACAAGAGGGTTCAGAGTTACTTACAGTGGTGTTTGAGCTTGAGCTTGAACTTCCTCCGGGGATCGCAGCATCACCCTTTTCTTTTTCTTCTTCTTCCACAAACGCCATCAGGGCCAGATTCTCCTCTTCTTCTTCATCTGAACTCTCCTCCTGCCACGGGTCATTTTCAGTAAGTGTTGCAGCACTATCATCATCTTGTTTAGCCATGAACATTTTCTGTTTGTTCCACAACATCTTCTGCTTATAGTAGTTGAAGTCCCTTTTTCTTGGTAGGCGACAGTCTTTGATGACGTGACCAGCCTTTCCACAGTTGAAGCATTTGGGGGAATCTTCTGCTGCAACAGCTCTACTGGAAGAGTTCTTGTGACACCCCAAAATTTTAAATAAAATAATTAAAATAATAATTTTGTTTAAAATATTACAAAAGTGATATTTTTAGAAAATTGTGTTAAAAATAAATTGACATTTCAATCGTGAAGATTGTCGGCCAAAATTTATGTTTAAGTTGAAGTAAATCATGTACATATAAATACATGTACATATAAAAGTAGATTCATTCCTTCTATAAATAAATTGACTTATTATGTCAATCATATTTAATTTAAATAAAGTTTTAAAAGCTTACGCTATACTTAATCGTAATACCCAAATGTACATATTTCTTTTAGATTGACTTTTCAAACTAACTACCATATGGAGTACGTATTTTCTGCCGGCAAATCAACTAATGGGGAAAGATGAAACGGCCGAAACGTAATTAATCGTAACGCATGGAAACCCTAGTCTAGAAGTATCTACTGCGGTATATATATACTCGACCCTCGCCCTGCGCATCTGCATATACCGGCGGCAGAGCCTTGCCCTGCGTAAACATACAAAATACATGCTACGATCTACGCATACCTACTCTATATACTACGGAAGATAACGTGTATATATATATACTACGTATAATTCTCCTAAATACAACCTGTAAACTGGGACGAATTCCCGTCGCTGGCTGGGAAGAAGAATGGCATCTTGGTTAGTGTCGGACCAACGAATATCTTGCCGAGAAGTGAAGATCGATCACCGGAGATTGCTGCTGTGCTGCGCCAAGTTCAGAGTTCAGACCATTTCCAACCAGACTGACTTAAACCACCGGAGAAGAATACAGCACCGACGCTGGATGGGTAGACCGCGGATGATATCCACAACGAAGGAGGAAGCATCGTCAACGTCTTTGCCTGTCAAAAAGAGACGAAGATGGGGATCATCGTTGGAGTAGCAGAGCTTCTGTTCCGGGCTAAGTAAGTATTCACGCCAGAGGGTCGTCGGAGATAGGAGCCTCCTGGAGTGCTGTTTGTACCACGCCGGTTGATTCGGCGCCGGAGAACATCTGCGTACAGGCGTTGCCGGACTGGAATCGACGAGTAAGTGGTACTGTTAACTTCTACGCTGATCTTTTGCTAATTTGGGCCGCTATTCTTTTATTTTAATGATGTTTGGACGGCCAAGTTAATAGATGAATTATAATCATATAATAATAACTACATATATATAGGCCAATTAGACTTGGTAATCTGCCATTCGACATAGAAATAATGGGATTATTAAATCGTACTTGACTGGAATAGTTATTAATTAAAGCATTTTAATATTATTAGAAGGTGACTTTGGAAGGGATCAAGGTAGAAGCTACGGTTAGGAGTTATTGTGATTTGAGGTAAGTTCTACGTCAACCAACATTACACTTTTCCTCGTAAATCTATATATGATTATTTATTTGAAATTAATTGAGTACTTTGTGAGATTTCTAGCATTTACATTTATACTTCGTATTTGAGTATTTAGAATTATTTATGGATTGTTATTGAGGATTATATTTGAGATTTGAGTATTGAATATTGTGTGATATTTTTGAGTAATTGAAGTTATGTATTAATCATTATTGGGATTGAGATTTGAGCTATTTATGGAGTATTCTATATTTTAATCATGTTGGGAATTTTCGAGTTTAAAGGATCGATTAACCCTTATTTTGGAAATTTATGTCTATGTATAATATGTGATGCATTGTTGAATGTTGAATAACTTTGGGGAATTACGTGAGTAGTAATCCCTGAATTTTTGGAAAATAATAAAGATAAAATGAACCTTTCAATGTAAGGGCATCACGGGAGAAATCCGGGATGTCGGTGTCCTCCACGACCTTGACTGTGGAGAGTGATTAGGACTGCTATTACTTGTTGGGATTTGGTGTCCACGACCTTGACTGTGGAGATTGGTGATTGTTTATTGTATTTAAATTTTGGGCAAAAGACCCTATTATTCAGTAGTAGCAGTAACCTAGTCACTTATATAGGGTAATCCCTTTTTGGTGGAGTAGGGGGACGTTGACGTCCGAACTACTTGGACTTCTTACTACTCGGAGGGCTTGGAATCCCTTTTAGAGGGTGTGCACACTTAAGGTAGAGGTTCAGTTTCCTCAGGTTAGAAGTGGTACCGGCAAAAGTCCCGGGGTGGCCGTACATAACAACGGACCATCGGGCTCAATAAAATGTTGAGCACCGCCCTTCAAATGTATTAGGAGTACAAATTATATTTGGATTGATGTTTTGAGGTTTTGAGGAGAATTATATTTGAATGGAATGGATTTGAGTTGTTGGATTGAATTATCAAATTATTGTGGAATTTCAAGTACAAATACTTTTGGATTTATTTTGGTTTGATTATGCTAATATTGATTATGAGTGTTTGGAATTATTTTGAGAATGATTTTGGTACTTTATGTACATTTGGTATGTTGTAATTATTGTGGTTTGGAAATATTTAATTATATTTGAAGTACTATTATTTTACTCGTGAATTGTGTCATGAGAAGATTTTACAAATTGTTTTAAAAAGATTTTTCCTGCCAAATGTTTTTTTTCAAAAATATTAAATTTATATTTTTTTATGGGGTTAGGTGGAACTTACTTAGCATTGTTGCTAATTTTTGTTTTCTTTTATTTTTCTTTTTGTACATGATTTTGTACAGGTAATGCTTTGCTGATGATGTTGATTTCGAGAGAGCTTCCGCTAGAGAAAATGTAATTAGTAGATAACATTGTAGTTTAATTAAATTTTCAAGACACTTATTGAGTTTAATTGTTTCTGTGGTGATTAGCCTGTGCACTCGGTTAGGTTAGAGCCGAGTGTGGCGGTAACGCCCCTATTTCCCTTTGATTGTTCCGCTGCACAATTCTGATGTTTTCAAATAAAATCAATAATAAAGTTTTATTTCAAAGTGTTTTTGGGTGGAAAATTTGGGGGTGTTACAGTTCTGATCATTGTTCTTTGTTTTGTAATTGGCAGAGGAGGTTCGCAGCTTGTTGGATGAGTTTCCCTTCTTAGAGAATTTCTTGTTGAACTGATTGGTGAGCAGAGCCATCTTTTTCTGCAGATCAGCCAACTCAGATTCAACATCCACTTCTTCTTCACTGTCTTCTTCTTCTGACTCCACCTTAACTGCCTTCTTCTTCTTCTGAACCTTAGATGAACTCTTTGGTTTAGCTTCAATCATGAGTGCTAAAGGATTAGCAGAAAAGCTTCCTTCCATCTCAGCAGTGTCATTCACAAACTGCTGAAGATTCTCATGAAGTGTGCAGAGATCCAGTTCATCTAAGTCCAAGTGTTGTCTCAGGTTCTTTACAGTTCTTTTCCACTCAGGGGGCAGGCTCGACAAGAAACGTATATTCATCTCCATGTTTGATTTCACAACCTTGATCTTCCTCATCTTGTTGATCAGTTGTACAAATCTGTTATACGTTTCATGGAGCGCCTCCCCTGGTGCGGCCTTGAACGCATCATAAGCAGTTAAGATGTTTGCTTTCTTCGTCTTCAGTCCAAGATCAGTCCCGATCATCAGCTTCTTTACTTCATCCCACATCTCTTTAGCAGTCTCCATGCTGTCAATCAGAATGTATATGTCATTTGGGATTGCTTGTAGCAGGAACGTCTTTGCCATAAGATCAGCTTTGATTCTCTGTCTATCCTCTTCAGTGTATTCAGCTTTTGTCTTCAATCTTCTTTCCTGATTAACGGGTGGGTTGTTTGCATCAATGCCATTTACACTTGCCCAAATCTCAGCAGGTCCTTGGGTGAGGGATTCCAGCATAGCAGAAGAGTTGTCTTTACTTTCTAGAAAATTTAAGAATCTTGTTCTCCACATCTGGTATTCTCCTCTCCTCAGTATTGGTGGCCTACTGTCATTACCAAGTGATAAAGCATCCATCTTTGTTGATTTTGAAAAAGACCGTTCGAGTGTTTTGATCAGATAAAATTAAGTTTTTAATTGTAGAATGTCGAAAACCTAATTTTCAGGAATAAGTTCGAGAAGTGGGTTCGAGAACTTCTATCGAGAAGCAGTTTTCGATATTTTGATGTCGAAAACCTTGCTATCGAGAAGCTAGGTTCGAGAAGCAGCTTTCGAAAAGTCAGTATCGAGAACTTTAAGTTCGAAAACTTAGGTTCGAGAACTGAATGTCGAGAAGCCGTATCGAGAACCTGCGAATGCGAAAACAAGATATCGAGATTTTAATATTGAAAATTGAGTATCGAGAACGTAAGTTCGAGAACTCAATTCGAGAACTTATGTCGAGAAGTCAGTGTCGAAATCCTGCAAATCAAAAAATCAATTTTAAACAGATAGAACAGCTTTTCGGTAAAGTCCTTGATCCCGAGAACCTCTTTGTGCAGTTTGAAGATTGAAACACTTGCAGAAACCTCGAGAAACCTGCTTTTCGATATCAGAATATCGAGAACCTCAAATCTGAAACTTAAACAAATCGAAGATCTAAGATATACTGCTTGCTCGTTTTTGAGAGGCGATTTCAGCAGTACATCTTTTACACTTTTTCGTTCAAAAATGAGATTACAGCGATTAAAAGGGTACAATATCGAAAAGATGAAAACAGAGGACTTCGAAAACTTTTTCTTCGGCGATCACACTCGAGCAGGCTCTGATACCAGTTGTTGGTCCCAGTTTATGCAGACTAACGATCAACTAGATGGTATTCAACGATTAAACAGAAGAAAAGAAGATCTGATAATGATAAGGCAATATCGAGAACAGAGAAATTCTTCTTCTAGTTTATCGAGAACTATTTGGGCAGCGTAAGGCTAAAAAATGTATTGATTGATATCGGTACCTGTACACAAGGCGCATATTTATAGGCGCTGTACAGGTTACCGATTTAGGTAAACCTTGGAAGTTGGGCCAAGGCCTTTTTGGGCCTTATTCCGTTTACCTTATTTATTACATAATAATTACTAATCTAATACCATAAATGGTATAACTAGTCTACTTTATTAAACAAGACTTAACAGACAAACTTGACCCACAATAAAAGTTCTAACAATTTATTATGACACATCATTGATCGATACACACTCACACACATCATCTAATTGACAGTCATGAACTCTGCCCAATTTGCTGAATCTTCTAATGGTGTTGAATCTGCTAATACTACACGGAAGAGAAAAATAAATGATACGTGGTATATGATAGACATGGGGAGAACACAAATCCTACCAAATCATTAGATGATCTTTTTTATAATTTAGAATGCTTATGCTTTTGTTACTCCATCATTTGGATTTTTATCAATTTATTC